GAGCTTTATCACATTCATACACTGATGGGACACACATCGGAGGCAATGAGGGGTTCAGTGTCTTGCCCAGGGACACTTCAACATGTGACTACTGCTGGAATCAAACCCCCAACTCTCCCATTGGAGGACGACTGCTCTAACCACTCAGGCACAGCCGCCCGTAAGCTGTCGTGACAATGTGATTTAAATAGCAATACAATACAATACAATACAATACAATACAATACAATACAATACAATACAATACAATACAATACAATTTAAATGACCAAAACTCAAAGAGACACAAAGACAACCCAGACATGGCGTGAAGCACACACAATGTCAGACTGAAGATGAAGTGAAAGCTGAGAGACTTTATGGACAGGAGCTGATGAAGAGGAGACTCCTGGGCTTAATGACAACTGGGAACAGGTGAGAGTGGGTGGGGCAGGAGCTGAGGACCAGAAACTGACTGAGGAACACTGAGAAAACTAAAACGCACACAAATAAGAAAAAAGGTTTAAAATAACAAACACCAAAAAGCTACTATCTGGACACAGCCACACATGATTTTAGCACAAGATCTTTAAAAATGGCCTGAATTTTTGTGATTTCCAAGGTCAGTTGGCAGTGGCAGCCATTTTAAATTGGGTTGACTCTAGAAGTAAACCAGGTGTAGATGCAACATGTAAAGACGATTTCTCTTTTATTGGCAGGCGGTAACGATAAATGTCAAATTGGTGTGCTTGTCCTTTTACCAGCTGGTATTTGGGCCACCAATTCTTCACCAAAATACTTGCTGATGGAGGGAAATTGTAGACCAGACGTGCTACAAATAATTTTCTGCTCACTTCTGTCAGCTGAACTGTAGGGAGGGGACTCTGTAAACACCAGGAGATTGGAGATATGAACATAATCATAAGCAAAGATTACTTGACATGTGGAGGATTACTGAAGACGCTACAGTTTTCCTTGTATTTATTTCTGTGCGTGATCTCAACCTCGGTTAGCCGATCGTACGGTAATGCCTGCTTCTATGGCCTTGTTTCCCTTTCAGAGGAGTTTATGGGCCGTTATTGGCAGCCATGAATCAGAACGATCGCTCTATGCAGTGGTTTCTGTCTCCTGTTAGTTAACCTGGGTGGAATAATACTGTCCTGAATGAAGTAAACAAGGGTTGGGATTTTGTTTTTGCAATTTTGATGGAAAAACTATTTTACTTTACAGTTTTAAGGCTGCTGCCTTTGTCTTAGTGCATCCTTTTGACAAGATAAGGTCCTTTTGTCAATTGCAATCAAATAAAAAAATTCATTTGTGGTTAAATTGTGACCAACAAAATCACAAGATATTCAGAGAAACATCAAAATGTTGCAATTTATTTGTTGTTACAGGTTTTAAGTACCAAATCTAGTACTTACAAGCAAAAATATGTCTATTTCCTTTCAACTTTGTGCCTCCAACCAGTTGCAGCCCAGTGGGATTCTGGCCTTAGTTTGAAGTTGAATAAAAAGAGAGTTTGCAAAAAAACCAGTTTGTTGTGTCAGTTTTAGTGGATTTGACTTACCATTAATGTGTCAGCTGTGATGGTGCCTGAGGCTGTTTCACAAAGGAGATTCCAGTAAACTAGTATGAGAGGAAAAAATCTGTGTTTCACCAAACTGTCAGCGCGTTCAGACGTAACCTGTGTCAGAAACGTAACTTATCTGAACAGTGGCTGAGATACAGAGCACCTCTGTTGTTGGGATGCAGCTGTAACCAGAAAGTTAGCCTCGCTAACCACTAATTTGCTAACTCAAAAAAAATTAGCTTTGCTAACGCTAAACCACTAAACAGAAAAAAATAAATAAATTCTGGAAGCTAATGCTAAAGTGTTAACTTTTAGTTGGGGCGGTTGTGGCTGAGTGGTTAGAGCAGTCGTCCTCCAATGCAAGAGTTTGGGGTTCGATTCCAGCAGCAGTCACATGCTGAAGTGTCCCTGGGCAAGACACTGAACCCCTCACTGCCTCCGATGTGTGTCCCATCAGTGTATGAATGTGATAAAGCTCTGATTATTCTCCGTAGAGATCTGGTAGAGTTCTGTATGAATGAGAAAATGAGGCACAGATTGTTGTAAAGAGCTTTGAGTTTCTTGATAAGATAGAAAGGTGCTACTATACAAGTGCAGTCCATTTATCATTTAGTAATGTGACAACGTTGTAAGTGACACAACTCAAAACAGTTCATGATACACAAGTAAAGTGTCCATGTCCCGTTCAGAGGAGAGCTTTCAGAAATTAATCTGGTCCAGCAGAACCAAAGAGGCGGAGCAGAACTCCGCTATGCTGAAGCAGAGTGATGCATTCAATGTGTGTCGGACGTCTCCCTCGTGTCATTTACTATAATGAATTAACTCACTTTAACAATCCTCTTTGTGGTTAACTATTTTTATAAACTTACTACAAAGTTGCTGTGCGTCATCATCAAGATTCTCTAGATAATAAATCTGTGTGTATTAAAAGTGAAGCTGTGTGAAATGTGTGAGAGAGTCACGTCCCAGAGACAGTGAGCGTTGCAAAGCATGCTGGGTATGAATTTTGTGTGCAATGTTTCTGACTGTTGACATTGTTTCTGACTGTTTACATTGTTTCTGAGTGTTTACATTGTTTCTGACTGTTTACATTGTTTCTGACTGTTGACATTGTTTCTGACTGTTGACATTGTTTCTGACTGTTGACATTGTTTCTGACTGTTTACAATGTTTCTGACTGTTTACAATGTTTCTGACTGTTTACAATGTTTCTGACTGTTTACATTGTTTCTGACTGTTTACAATGTTTCTGACTGTTTACATTGTTTCTGACTGTTTACATTGTATCTGACTGTTTACAATGTTT